TTTTAGAAAAAGAGTACACAACCATTCACTTTAAGAATTTTTCTAGCATGCTGAGGTTCTATGGATGAGATTTCAAAACCTTATGACTGAGGATTATTCGTTATGCAGAATGCTTTCCTCACCCATGGACTCAAAGATTTATTGCTACAGAGTCCAGATGCTGTGGAAGTAGGCTTTTTTTTTTTTAAGATGGAATCGATTTTCCTTAAAACACTGAATTTAATTTGATTTAACATGTATTAAAAACTGGGACGTCAGGACGGGGCTTTTAAGAATTTCATGGAAAAGGCTGGATTTGTTATGATGTCTGTTTTCTAATTTGTGCCACAGATTTTTTTCTTTTAGCGTGCTGTAAACCAGACACTGCAGATTTGTAAAAATGATGATCCTTCACGTGAAGTGACTCACAGTCTATGGAGGCTGACAGTTACGGGAACCGTTGGTACATACACACACACACAGGGACATGTATTGCAGTGACGTATTATGAAGTATAGTGACATCAGTTATTTAGCCAGAAGGATCAGGGAAGGATTTGATATCTGACCTGAGCCCTGAAGCGTGAATGACGTTTCACCAGTTGGAGAGGTGAGGACATTTAGCTGGAGAAAATGGCAAATACAGGGTTTGGAAGCAGAAAGATGACCTGTTCTGAGAAGGAGTGTTTACCGCAGGGGCCAGGAGGGGAGAGTTCATGAGGCTGTGCAGGTAGATTTGGTTTTATGTGCAAGGAAACACATTGAGGGAATTAAAATACTTGATCAACTGTAAGATTAAACATTAGATGAAAATGATGTTTTTTGTTTTTGTTTATTTTACTCTTAGTGCTTATGAGGCTATGCAAAGGGCTGCCATTCCATTCATTCATTATGTGAAATACACTTCGTTCACTCATTTTATGAATGGAATGTTTCATTTATTCAGTACATGAAATGTTTTTCATTATTACAAACAGTGCTGTGATAGATATCTTTGTCCCTGTCCCCCTGTGACAGCTGCAAGGGCTTCCCAGGCACACACCTGCTGGAGAACAGGTGCGTGGCCGCCTTGACAGGTGCCTCGGAGCTACCTCCGAGGGGTGCCTGTCTCCCCCGGCTCACTGAGTGCGATGTCATCAGGCCTCTTCATTGTCATCAGTTGGGACTGTTTTACGTTCCCTTTGTACGTAAGTTCCAAGAGCATTTTAGACTTCTAAAGACTTTTTTTAATTAAGAAGATGTTCGAATGATTACCTGAGTCCCCCAGACATACAACATGAGTACGTTATGAGTGGTACATGACAGTGTCCAGTTAATGCTAAGACTCTTTCTCTGCACATACACACGTAGAAAGTCCTCAATTCAGTAGATTTCTTTACTCCTGTCAGTTACAGTTAGCCTATTTTATTTTATCAACTCCATTCCAAGCTCTCCAAAAAAAGTCAGCACCCTTCTTTAACCTTTTTAACTTCCCCAGGGCCATTATAGAGCTGCCATCTTTCTGAATTCAATTTTCTGAATTGAAAACTGGTTTTTAGCATTAGTTTTGCTTTTTAATGGAGGTCCTGGGGGTTGAACCCAGGACCTTGTGCGTGCTAATTAAGCATGTGCTCTACCGCTGAGCTCTGGCCTTCCCCATTATTAGTTTTTAATTCTTTTTCAAACACATATACTCATTAGTCAGAAACTTGAAAATTTTTCTTCACAGTTTATCTTGGCTGCTCCACTGATACCATTGCATTTTAGACCAGATCATCCACGTGTTGTATTTATCACCAGTCAACAGCGACCCTTTGCTTTCACTCTCCCTTTACGGCAACTGATTCTACACACAGACAAGCGTGTGATCCTGCCCAAGCCCGGCGTGTATCAGGCAAGCCCCTCAGGATTCAGATTCCTAATATTTTTTCTATTTTCTAGTAGATCAAATGCAGACTTCTCAACCTGGCTCTCTAGAAGGTCTTTTAAACCCTCTCACCTCTTACTGTTTTCATAAGTTACCAACAAGAAGCTTAACAGAAGTCACCAAACTGCTTGTCCCTGCTGTATATTATATATTATATAATAATATATAGGTATATGTGTAATATACCACATATATTACATATATTATACATGTGTATGTATATATTACATATATATGTACCCGCTCATCAGCAAAGAAAGGTTTTAGTGCTACTGCCTTCCTTGGTTAAAAAGATAAACTAGTCTCAAACTCTTGTGTGATTCCCCTCAACTGCAGCAGAGGGAAGGGCGTGTGAAAGACCATCTGAGAAGCAAACACGGTCGGTGAATATTACAGCTGTTACCAGTGATGCGTCTCTTACATGAGACTGCGCGGTCGCAAAGCTCTTGCGGCTGGATGTCTGTACTGCCGGGAGAGATCAAAAAGCAGTATCGCTCTTCTGTGGCCCGCTTGTATGAGCAGTAATCCACTGTCTGAGACCAGATCTGTGCTGAAGCAGAAAGGGAGTCCTCGAAGACCAGACAGGGGACAAGCTGCTAATATGAACTTTCCTAAAAAGAAGGGGGTGAACGCTGAAGAGGCAGATGGCACTGATAGGGTGGACAGGACCTGGGCAGCAGGAGGGACGGTCCTGTTCTTACCTCCAGGAACTCGTCTCCTTGGAAGCTCTCCCGACCCTCCCTGGAATAAGGAAGATGAACGAATAGCTCTAGCGTCAGCAAGCGTCACTCTGACACTCCTACTGAACTGTCATTTTAATATCCCATTTTCTTTCCTGAAAAATATTTCTTGAATAAACATTTCTCTTCAAAGTGTATGTTCTTCTAAAGGTTGGATTTCTGCTACAATGTGATGGACTAGACCATGGTTTTTCAGCCTGTAGGTTGTGGACAAGTTTCGGCTGGGCTGTGGAGATTAAAATTTAGATTTTTCACATCAGTTTGGTAGTGTCGAGGCATCGCTCATTAGGTAAACCCCTTTCTGTCTAAATAGCAAAAGTGTCCTACAGGAGTTTTGCGGAAACAGTGAAAAAGATGGTGAATTGAAATAGTATTTCTCGTACATCCTCAGTCTCTGTCAGCCTCTCTTGGTCTTTGTGCTCTTATAATGCCCCTCCATGATGTTTCCAGTTTATCTGGTTTGATGCTATTAAGAACAACAACAATAATAATAGTAAACAACCGTATAGTTACCGAGGGAAAGGGGTAGGACGGGATAAATTTGGGAATTTGAGATCTGCAAATGTTAGCCACTATATATAAAAATAGATAAAAAACAAATTTCTTCTGTACAGCACAGGGAACTATTTTCAATATCTTGCAATAACCTTTAATGAAAAAGAATATGAAAATGAATATATGTATGCATGACTGGGACATTGTACTGTACACCAGAAACAGACACCTGGTAACTGACTGTACTTCAATTGAAAAAAAAGAGGGAGAGAGAAGCAGAGATGAAAAAAAAAAGTACAGTAAGGCTAGTGCTGCTACTAATAATAGCCAAGAGTGACGTTGCCATTTTTTATATGCTGGGTATATACTAAGTGTTCCACATGCGTCGTCTCACTTAATCTTCACAAGATGCACGTACACGCAACGACAGAGGAAAGACGGGAAATTGGGAAATGTGACTTTGATCTTGTCAGCATCCCTCCTTTTTTAGTGCAGAGGAACGAGAAGCGCTTCTCGTGCTCTGACGGGCCGGTGCCTTGGGCATATGATTCCTTAAGAAGTGTTTGTCAGAATAGCAGGTTTAATATGACGGCTCTAGACGTTGTGCCTTTCAGACTCTGGCTCCTTGGATTTTTTGTTACTCCTTCCTTCAAGCTGTCCTCAAGGGAAATTTCTTAGTAGGTTTTCTTATGTGATCCCTCCCTGTGACAGCATTCTTAGCAGCCTCTGCATTTGCCCAGCCTCAGAACATCACCTAATGATGCCCTCTGTTAGTCCATATTTTCCATTAATCAGCTGAAGCAGGAAGTCTCCGCTGTGTTAAGCTCTTGACGTGTATACGTTGAGGAGCATATCTTTAAAACGTTACTTCAACGCTGAATAAAATACTTGCTGTATAGTAAACAATCTAAACCAATATTTTCTTAATTTAAAATAGGCCCATTTATGTTTATGTCTCCTGTTTGCATAGATATTTACGACTTCATCTTCTTTTCCTACAGGCAGTGTGACTGTCTGGCTTTGACCTGAAGGCATTTGTCTTTATTTAACAGAACAATTGCATGTTCCTCTGAGTGTTCTTTGGGGTAGTCTGTGTGTAATTTGTGATGTGAATTGGCGCTTCCCAGAAGCTGCACTCATGCTGCAGTCTCAGGGAAATCTTCCATTTGCTCTCAAAAAGATGTTGCAGCTCTCTTTCTCTTTCTGGTCCAAAATACTTCACCAAAAGCCTGGCTTTGGCCCTGGAGTGGAGCAGCGTGATTAAGCTCTGGCCCTGTCACCTTCCACCCCTGGGGACTGGACGCGTTGTTTACGCTTTCCGAGACGTGGTTTCCAGTATGTGAGTTTTAGGGCTTTTGTGAAGTTGCCTGGATTTATGTCAGCTCAATAAATGTTAACAATTATTTTTATTTTCAGGATTATTAATAGTAGCATTTTCAGTACTGATGAGTTACTGTTTAATGACAGATTTCTTAAACAAGAAATCATTTCAGAGTAATCTGATTGTTTAACTGGCTTGTGTGTTGGAGAGAACTGGGAAACACATGCCAGAGGCTAAACCTGCTTTCTGTGCAGGTGTAACATTTTAGAATAAGTTAAGCTAAAGCGTAATGATAATATTCTTACTATATTTCAGTAGCACATAGGGATTTTCTAAACTAGAATTTCAAATACATATTGTATTTCAAGTACAAGTTTTATTAAAAAAAATCTGTGGGCAAATTGCCTAAAATAATTTTAGGAACAGCATATAGGCAACATAGAAAGTATAACTGATTCGGCGTCACTGGAAGTGTGGGTTTGTTGCTTTGTATCTCAGCCCTCTTTGTTCCCTTACTCTTTCTATTCATGTAACTAAAATGATATATTTTTGATTTTCAGTTACTCAAGATTGCTTGCAGCTAATTGCAGACAGTGACACGCCTACTATACGAAAAGGTAATAACATACTTTCGGGAAATTTTCCACTTAGAATTCAGTTCAGTTCAATTGCTTGTACAGTTCAAGTCCAAAGACTGTA